CATATTGCCTGAAATTTATAAATGGCAACGAGCTTACTCCCAGATTTTCCAGCGAGTGTATTTTAAGAAAATGTTTAGGGCAGAAAAGGCATGAAACACAATTAAAAACGAAGACAAAACGTGATCGAAAGAGGTCAAACCCCAGAGCAAGATTAAGTTGTGGGCTTAGCATACTTAAGTGGTCACGGGCCGGGGCTCTGAAAAATAGAAAAAGAAAATACCGGCGCCCGGTTAAACCCGGCAAAATCGGGGGAAGGGAAAAGGTCTCTAATTGAGTAAACGCGAGCGGAAAAAACAGGAATTAAAATCGGAAAAACGATAGATATAACGCAAAAATACACACAATGGAAAAAGGGAAAACGGAGTGGTGGCTAGGCAGCGGTTTGTTTTCCATTCCTAAGCTCATTTTCCAGAGCAGCTTTCGCCAAAGTGGCATAAGATGCATCAACAACGGGCCAGAAGGAATCAAAATATAAAAAGCAAAGGAATTAAAAATGTGAATGGTTCAGAGGAACTCGAGGAAAACAAAGCAAATGGAAAGCCAGGGGGCGGGGGTGGAACATTAAAAATGTTTTCCAGCTTTCGGATCCTAATCCTTTTGGCAGTCGAGCTCATTATGCACGGGGTCGCTTTTAATGACCCAAATCCGGTCGAAACTCTGGCTGCCCCAAAAGCGGACAGCTCGAGCTTCCATTTTTTGATTAATTATGTGCCGAAAGTGAATGAGTTTCTAGCTCCTGGGTAATTCAGGTAATCTGTGCATTGTCTATTTTGACATTTGCCGGGGGTATTCATTTTTTTCCCCAGAATGGCAGCTCAAGGTGCGCTATTTGCACCCACTCCCTTAGCCTTCCCTTCAAGCTAAATTTATCAAATGCGTAATGAGCGCACGTGAGCCGCATGCCATATGCCAATTTTCACCCAGGACTCCCAATATTCCCATATTTTTTTTGGGGTTTTTCGACCACTATTCGGAAGGTGGAGTCAGCCGTCGGTCTGTTAATTACAACTTAAATTGACAGCAAAAATTGGACTGGAAAATTGTGGGTTTTCCATGCGGTCGGCATATTAAGCGCTTACTTCGACGGAGTTGGGGAGCAGAAGAGCATAATTTCGCTGGCAGGAGTAGACAAATGAAGACTTAAGACCTACTTAAGGGCAAGAGCAGTCGGGCGTATGGCATTCAAAACTCCTAAGCTGCCCGGAAAGTATTCCGCAACAAAAGCGCCATATAAAAATCCAAGCAAAAAACAACAAATTAGCTAAGAAGACAGGGGAGGAGTTGGGTGGATGGGTGGATGGGCGGATGGAATGGGAGAAGCATTTAACCCTAATTTGACACACACGCAACCTTGACGAACGGATGAGGAGAGGGTTGGAAGTGCAAGTGGAGGGGGGTGTGGATGCTCCTGGGGGTGCGGCGTCAGACGGCAAGTCACAAATAAATACATTTACGCTTATCAAGGGTTACAATGAACATAACAAAAGGAGTTATTGGATGTGTAGCATAGAAAGTTTGATACCCTTCTGTGAGTAGCTGCCGAAACAGAAAGGTTAAAAATATCATAAAACATACTCCTTATTTTGTATAAATAAAACATTAAGACGCTTTTGATCACCATTTTTTGTTATTTTTCATGTAAAATCTTCTTTTACAGTTTTTTTTTACAGTTTTGAGTAAATTATTATTATTAGCTTACTTAGGAAAACGAGATCTAAAAGAAATTAAAAAAGTACACTCCAGTTTAATGAGACACCATTCCACATGTTTTTAGATTCTGTTTTTGTTTATTATATTTTAAACATTTTCCAGCTTCGATTAAATAGAAATTGCAGTCGAATTCCGAACTACCCTTTCTGAACTTAATAACATATCACTCCCAACTGAAACGTATGCTAACTGCCGTTAAATGCGAATTCAAGGAAGACAACAATATCAATAAGCACACACTCACACATGCGGCGAAGGGGTAAACGGATGGATGATGGGCGGTGGGCGATGGGGTGACGAGGATGTAGCGACAGCGGAAACGGAAATCACAACAAAGTGCTGACATGTGCCGCGGTCGGTGGATGGAGAAGGGGGAAGTTTGGGCCTATGCGGTTGCCATACATGTGTGTGTTTGGGTATGCGCGTGTGGGTGTCAAGTTCCTTTTCACGCGCAAATTGAGTGCTTAAGCGGTTTAGTTGGCACGTCTCTACGCCGCCCCCTCCCCTTTTTTGCCACCGGAAGCGGAAACTCCGCATGGGAATGTATTTCAATTCGCATTCGCTGTGTTTGCTGTGCTTGCTGTGGCGTCGGTAAGCCGTCTCGGCATTCATCTTTCAGTAGACACGAGACTCCAGCGACTCAGTTGGAGAACTGACTGAACTCCACTTTCCATATCCTGGCGATAAGCAAGTTTCGCATTTGCGTTTATAATTCATGCCCATTCAGTTGGAGAACAAAAAATTATTATTTATTGTCAACGCTTGCAGCTTCATCTTCCGCTTGTTTATGTGTGGCCACAGCGATAAGAAAGGGGCGGGGGAAAATTGGAAAAATCGAGGGGGAGGGGTGCACATTTGCATACGTTTTGGCCGGAAATAAAATCGCAAAGGCGAACGCGTGCCAGCGACATAAAGAAAGCAGCTCGAATTGCGAGTTCTTTCGCATTTGCCCATATATATGGCATACTTACAGGCGGACCGCAACAACAAAGATAAAGATGCTACAATGTGTTGGCTATGTTTGCCTCTCTTTTGCGCTCACTGGCTCATTTGTTGTTATTTATGCTGAGCCCTTGTGGTATATGGAAATCCCCCATAAGGACCGCGGTCACATTTGCTCCTGTCTTCCTTCGCTACTTTTGCATACGCCGCGATAGAAATAGAAAAGCGGAAAAGCAAGCGAGATGGCAGCTGGTGTTGGGGAAAAATGAAAAGTAATAATAAAAAATAATAATAAACATGCTTGGGCTGGCGTTTTATTGCCGCTCAATTGATATCATGAAATTATGCCCTTGATTTTTATTGCCCTGCCAAAACATATGATGTTTTCCCTTAAAGATGTGCATATGTGTGTTCCTCCAAAGTCATGTCTTGGGATTATTTTTAAGCCACTGCCACTGCCTACATATGAGGTCGCTGTAATTGCAATTTGAATTCAATGTAATGACGATGATGGGGAAAACGTTGGCATAGTGTAGCTTATCGTTTACGATCGAAGAAGTGAGAGGCAGCTTTCTCGGAAACCCGATACATCAGGGCATCTCGGGGGTGGATTGATGCCGCTGGCAACCGCAGGCCTCAGATATCTATAAAATAATACCACAAATTGGCAACTGTTTAGTGCGACCTGTTCGATTTGCTTCCTCATTTAAATGGTTGTTGAAACGCATGCTTTTCTATTTTAGTTGATCTGTTTCTGTTTCATATTTTTTCTATCACAGTATTGATTTTTTCCGCAACACTGAAAATATTCTGAATAGGCAACAAATGCCCTTTGTAAATGCCCATAATTACTCAACGGTTTCACTTTCATTCGCTGTCATTCATCCGCCGATTTGACTGTGAGTAGGCAATTTAGTAAACAGTAGCTACATATATGTAAGGATACCTGCAAGCTAACTATTTTGACGCGGAATTGATGTCAGTGACACAGTCGAAAATACGAAGCTAAAGATCTCAAGTCCGAAACCGAATCCGAATCCGAACCCAAGTCGGAGCTAAAGCTAAGCTTTCTGAGTGGGCTCGGCAAATGAAATATATGAGAAATCCTCCTGAGATGAGTGAGCATTTCGTGGAGCATCCACAACACGCTGCCTTTAGATTAGTTTAGTTTAGTTCGTTTACGGTCTTGTCCGAATTGAGATCGTCTCGGCTACCGTCTTGGATACTTTTATACGAGGAGCGCGATAGAAACAAAACAAATTAAAATAGTAATACCTACTCTCGTAAGTTATGCAAGGGCAAATAAATTACAAAAATTAGCCCAAAGTGTGAAAAAGTTCAAGGGGCGAAGTTCTGGAAAAGTTGCCATACAAATATTTATCAAGAACAGCACAATCAAGATAAAGTTCAAGTGATAAGCAGCGCATTAATTTAAATATGCTAAGTGAATTGTGGGCACACACAGGCCATACATACCGACACACACATGGGGGTACCACTGGTACACATTAAATAATAGAGCACACGTTGAGGGATTGGGAAAGATTCTGTTTTCCGGAGAGGGGGCGTGAATGAAAGCCCCGTCGGGACAGACGGTAATAAACGAATTCGCTCTCTCTGCAGCTCTGTGACTAAACTAATTTGGCACTCGAGCGGAGATAGCGATAGTGACTATATCACATTGATCCTCGTCCCTAATCCGAAACAAAAACAATGAGCACGCATATATGGTGTTTGTCCGCGGGGGGCGGGCAGCCCCATATACTACATATGTAGATCTTATTTCCCTGGAAATCTCAGGCAATGACTCGGCTGAGATTTACGTGCTCATCAATGTGCAAATGCAAGCCCACCAAAACCCACTGGCGGCGCTATAAGATAAGTCCCGTCTGGAGCCTTGCCGGCCTTATCACACACTTTTGCTGTCTATTTTATAATTTTAGTACCCGAACTCAACCCGCAAACAAATTGTAAATTTCGCAGGCGTCAACAGAAGCAGCATGAGCGGACATCAACGTGTCTCTGGGAATCGTCCAAGATTAGCTTAATGGCTGGAGGGGAGTGATTACCCGGGCCAGAGATAATATTTTGATAAAATATTTGATGCAAACTGTCGGAACGTCACTATTTTGAGCCAAATCTTGGGAGAGTCTGTCGGGATCCGGCCGTCCGTCGATACAGTTAAGATCCGTGGCCCCCGGACCACATCATGCCACTCGATCCGCGACCGTCCACGCGCCTGGTTGTTTTGTAGAACCGAAAATTTCACCGCAGAACCCAGCTAATTGCCCGCGAAAATTAAGAAAATTATTGTGAGAGACTGTACAAGCTATACAAGTACTGTGTGTGAGTTCGGTGCCCGAAAGCGGAAGAGACCAATGTACCAAGTGCGATCGCAACCCGAGGAGACCCCCAACTAGGATGGTGCAGAGCGAGAATCCCAGCAGCCTGGGACCCGAGGAGCAGGATGTGGAGACTGGCAGCCCCGAATCCCGAGACGAATCGGACGTTGAGTCCCGACTCCTGGACAATGGCAAAACCCACGACAAGGAAAAGGAGGCGGGAATCAATCTGGACGGCGAGGAGGCCACACCGAAGAAAGGCAAGTCCAAAAAGAAGAAACAGAAGTCCGAACAGGATCGGCTCATGACGGCGGAAATCAACAAGTTGCTGGAGGAATCTCCGCTGGAGAGGAACGTAACCTGCGGCTTCTGGATATTTAAGGGAAGGTTCTATCAACGGTAAGTTAACTCAAATTTTATTTAAAAAAGTTATGTTTAAAAAGCATTCGAGAACAAAAATACAGCATAATCTTTATATTAAAAGGATATAATTCATCCTATTAAGCTAGGAACAAATGTAAATTTATATGTATTATATATCTTTAAATTACTTTTCACATTAATCCTTCTAATTTGTTAAACCAAACCAATATAAACCCTTCTTAACATTTTCCCCTTTAGATTTGCCAACCAAACTGCATACGTTTTGCTCTACGGCATCGTGGGCTGCATCTTTTCAATGACATATGCCTACTTTAATGGCACAATCACCACAATAGAGAAGCGCTTTAAGATACCCTCGAAGAACACGGGCATTATATCGGTGGGCAATGATATAAGCCAGACTTTGGTGTCTGCGGTTTTGGCCTACTATGCGGGAAAGGGTCATCGGCCGAGATGGATTGGGTTTGGTAAGATGTGGACAAGAATTAAGTTTCCCAGAAAAAAATTTAGAGCCCTCTTCTTTACTTAGGTCTCCTAACCATCGTATGTTTCTGCGTTCTAACCACCGCACCACATTTCCTCTACGGACCCGGCGAGGATGCACTGGCTCTGACCTCGGAGTTTGGCGGGATGCCCGATGAAAATGCCACAATGGAGGCCATTGAGGAGCAGCGATCCAAGACGCTTTGTCGTTTGAATGGCGGCGGGGCGGAATGTGAAGTCGGTGAAGGGAACTTTGCGCCCCAACTCCTGCTCTTTGTGGCGCAGTTTATATCTGGAATCGGGGGATCCCTATACTACACCTTGGGAGTGTCCTACATGGACGACAACACTAAAAAGTCCAAGACACCGGCCTTGCTGAGTAAGTGCCATACTAGTTCTAACCAACCGGAACCGAAGAAAATTATGATGGGGCAGGTGGTTAATCTCCTATGTCTAAGTTGCCTTGAACCTTTTGTAAGTCCATTGAGATAAGCTAACATAATCGCAAAAATCTTAGTCATTTACGCTGACTCAGGAGCCATTTCTAGAACATCCATATGCAAAAGTTTGGGAATTTCCAAAATATATACGGCTGGAAATAACCGACTTATGCATACCTTTCCCCTTCTTTTTATCCAAGTCAAGTAGATATTGAAATGTTAAAATTTATTAAGCTGAAGGACCGTTATGAAGGTATTCAAAAAGTATGCAACAACAAATTTGTTCCAAAAACCACCCCACCACCAAATCATGATTTATTCTTCAAGTGCCGCACTTTTCAAGAAAAGAATACTTTAGAAGAAAGGGTATACAAAACTTTAGTGGACATACATTTTCTACTTCAATATTTCTGTTGTTTAATGTCAGATAATAAAGAGTTATCTTTTTACAGACTTTAAGAAAATATTTCTTTAGCTGCTAGTCAAACTAATGAAGCTTTGTAGTTTTAACTTAAAAGATATGCTTATCTCTTAGAAGATTGCCGTAAGTGCAGCCGGGGGCATTTACTGAACATAATAAAGTGAAATATTTAGATATAATGTGAATATTTTTAGATTTAAAATGGCAAATCCTTTCTCCATTTTACCAGGTCTCTCGTACTTCCTGCGCATGTTGGGTCCTGCCATTGGCTACGCCTTGGCATCCTTCTGCCTGCGCCTGTACATCGCTCCGCAGATGCATCCGGTGATCAACAACAAGGATCCGCGCTGGCTGGGTGCCTGGTGGTTGGGCTGGTTGGTGATGGGCTGCCTGCTTTCCTTCTCAGGGGTTTTCCTCTCGATGTTCCCCAAAGAATTACCCAGAGCAGTGGCTCGCAGGAAGGTGGAGGAGAATCGCAGGCGCGAAAAGGAGCGACTAACGATGAAGAGTACGGAGAAGGAACGCCTAACGGCCGAGTTGGACCAAAAGGCTCCCGCGGAAGGGAAAGCCTCCTTCCAGGACATGCTGAAGACCTTCCGCCGCCTGATCACCAATAAGACCTATATGTGCAACACCCTCTCGAGCATTTTCTACCTGGTTGGCTATACGCCCTACTGGATATTCACGCCCAAGTACATCGAAGTGCAGTATCGCCAGTCGGCGGCCACTTCGTCCATGGTCACCGGAACAGTGGCCCTGGCCTTCTCCGCCGTGGGAGTCCTGCTCTCCGGCTTCATCATCTCCCGCTATAAACCCAGGGCCCGCTACATGGCCGCCTGGAACGTGATCGTGGGCTTCCTCACGGTGGCCGGTATCCTGGCCTACGCCTTCATCGGCTGCCCGGGTAACGAAAGCTCCGTGATTGTCAACATCCATGATAGTTCCCTCGCGGGCAACACCACCACCTGCAATTCGGCCTGCTCCTGCGATTACGTCCGCTACTCTCCAGTTTGTGGCGAGAACAACATGACCTACATATCAGCCTGCCACGCGGGATGCAAAAGTCTGCATGTCAACTCGGAAGGAAAAAAGGTGGGTAAATACTGAAATGTAAAAAAATCTAGATTATAAAATGTTTTTAAATGTCTGCAGATCTTCTACGATTGCTCCTGCATTCCTGGCGACGACACTGGCAATTCCACGGGCCAATTCAAGCGCCTAACCAGCTCCGATTTGAATAGCGATGACTTTGGTCAGGACACATCGATGCTCAGTCCATTGGAGGTAAGCCCACGCTTCAAGTACACCTTCGAATGATTAGCACCTCATTCTTTTCAAGAGTCTGGCGAATGGCCAGGCAATGCCCGGGGCCTGTCCCGTGAACTGCTGGACCCAATTCGTGGCCTTTTTGGCCGTGATGTGCTGCCTTAAGTTCGTGGGTGCCAGTGGCAGGGCCTCCAACTTCCTGGTCTCCGTACGTTGTGTCCCCGAAAAGGACAAGACGGCGGCCATGGGCTTTGGCATGACCCTCTGCTCGATGCTGGCCTTCATTCCCAGTCCGATATTCTTCGGTTGGGTCTTCGATAGGGTCTGCCTAGTGTGGGGCAAGACCTGCACAAACAAGGGAAACTGCTGGCTCTACGACCCGCTTTCCATGAGGTGGGTCTCTCTATAGAGTATGGAAACAGTAAAGTCTTAAATTAACCTTCTCACAAAGGTACACGCTGAACTTCACCGCTGCTGTCTTTATTGCCATCGGGGCCATTTTCGATTTGGGCGTCTGGTACTACGCCAAGGATCTGAAAATCTTCGACGAGGACGTCAAGGAGGTGGAGATGCAGATTGTCCAGCACGAGGAGGAGGCCAGCAACGAGAAGAACACCGAGATCTAGACCTAAGTTATTATTACTCCTAAGTGCTGTGTGAGAGTGAGAGTTTTGGTGCCTTGATTTGTCAATATCCATGTGTGATTCCTCCCCCGTAGAGTCCAGTACCATAATAAACGGTATTGTATCAGTAAGGTTGCCCCACTGTATATACTCGTATGGTGATTGCTGACAATTAAAGAGCAGATCCCGATTAGAAAGATAAATCTCAGAGGGATTTAGTTATAAAAGCGAAGGTCGTTATCCGTTATCTCGAAGCCTTTTTTGTTTACCCCCCGGCGGCAAGCCGATTGTGGCTTGCTTCTGAGTTGGGGGTTTAGTGTTTTGGAGTAGTTCGACAGTGAAGGATCGACATGGCCAGTGAAGAGATTGAGTCCTCAAAGTTTCTGAAGGATAAAGAGGCGGGCGGAAATGGGAGTGAAAAGCAGGAAGAGCTGGACTCTTCGGATACCACATGTGGTTTCTCAATATTCAAGGGGGCCGCTTTACAGAGGTAGATCATTCTTTTTAGGTGCGGATTTTTCATAATGCCATTGTGATCTGCAGATTTGCTACTGCGCATATGTTTGTGATAATGTACGGAATAGCCAGCTGCTTTCTGGCCATGGCCTTTACCTACTTCACCGGAACCATTACGACGATGGAGAAGCGCTTTAATATACCCACCAAGATATCGGGACTCATAACGGTGGGCAATGATATAAGCACAGTTTTCTCCTCGGCCCTTTTGAGTTACTACGCGAGTCGAGGACACCGCCCGCGTTGGGTTGCATTGGGTAACATCTTTAAAATAGTAATATTCGTTAGTTTGGTTAGTAAATCTCTTACCCCCTTTGCAGGCCTCCTCATTATAGCCCTTTTCTGCTTTCTCATGTTGACCCCGCACTTTTTCTACGGAGCTGGGGAAGAGGCCTTGCAACTCACAGAAGAGTACGGTTTGGAGGAGTCCGTTGTGAATTCTTCTGTAAATTCCACTGAGAAGAATGACTCACTTTGTCATGAGAAGGACTCCAATTGTATAGAGGGAGCTGGGGACTATAAGCCAGTAGTCCTGTTCTTCATCGCTCAGTTTATCGGCGGCATCGGGTGTTCTCTCTTCTACGCTCCGGGTCTCTCTTATATGGATGACAACTCCGCGAGTTCCAAAACGCCAGCCATGCTAAGTATGTTTCGAAATAGGTGATATCACACCTATAATGAATTTTTGATTTACCTAAGGTTGGAGCACCTTTTTGCGGATGCTGGGCCCTGCCATGGGTTTCTCCATGGTCTCCCTGTGCCTCCGGCTCTACATCGATCCCTTCAAGAAGCCGCTGATCACCACGAAAGATCCCCGCTGGATGGGTGCCTGGTGGCTGGGTTGGATTCTCCTCACCTTCATTCTGACCATCTCGGCCTTCTTTGTGGGCATGTTTCCCAAGGAGTTGCCCCGGGCCAAGGCCAGGCGTTTAAAGGCAGAAGGCGAAGAGGATACCCCGCTGGCGGAGCGCTCCCTCCAGGACATGCTGGGCTCCCTCAAGCGACTGGCCGCCAACAAGGTGTACGTGTACAATATGCTGGCCTCGATACTCTACTTCTTCGGCTACATGCCCTACTGGATATTCACCCCGAAGTATATAGAGATCCAGTACCGACAGTCGGCATCGACAGCCACCATGGCCACGGGCACTTGGGCCCTGGGATTCTCGGCAGCGGGAGTTCTGATCTCCGGCTGGGTGATCTCCAAGTACAAGCCGAGTGCCCGGGCCATGGCTGCGTGGAACTTTGTGGTGGACTACCTCACGGTGGCCGGACTAATTTGCTATGTTCTGGTGGGATGCGACGAGGGTGACCGGGCCAATTCCATGTCCATTGTGCCGACTGGCGATAGTTGCAGTGCCTCGTGTGACTGTGAATACGTGTACTACGCTCCGGTTTGCAGTCCTGAGAATATCACCTATATATCCGCCTGCCACGCGGGATGCACCGAAAAGGGGTTGGACGAACTGGGAAGGATTATTTACACGGGCTGTCGGTGCATGGGCAATGCCCTTAACCTGACTTCCGACTTCTCTAACTTCTCACTTGATGCCCAATCGCAGATCGCCTTGGATGGAGCCTGTCCGGTGGACTGCAGCAAGCAGTTCGTCATCTTCATGGTGGTCATGTGCTTCCTTAAGTTCGTGGGCGCCACTGGGAGGTCGAGTAACCTGCTCCTAGCCCTGCGTTGTGTTCCCTCGAAGGATAAAACATTTTCCCTGGGCTTCGGCAGTATGGTTTACTCCGTGCTCACCTTCATTCCCAGCCCCATTGTCTTTGGCTGGATGCTGGACAGCTATTGTCTGGTTTGGGGAAAGACCTGCAGCTCCAAGGGTAACTGCTGGATATACGACACAAAGTCCTTGAGGTGAGTGGTTCTATAATGGAGTAAACTAAATTAAACAAAATATATTTCCTTTTTAGGTACACTATGAACCTAGTGTGTGCTTCTCTGATTTTCCTGGGAAGTTTCTGGAACATTGGTGTCTGGTATCATGCGAAGAATATGAAAGTCTTTGATGAAGAGGAAACAGCGCCCCAAAACAATCAGATTGAAGAAATGGAACTTAAGCAAAAACCAAAAGAAAGCGATACAAAATAAAAAACGATATAATTAAATTCTTTTACTTGTTTGTGCATAATTTTATCGGGGGATACGTGGCCCACAAAAGATTGTGGGCGAATTTCACACGTTTCCGAAAAAGATAAGGTTGTCCCGTCAATTAACAGTTCTTAAAATGTAATTTCCATGCATAGTATATAAATGTCGCCTGTCTGATCCTCACTGTCTAATCTGAGTGACTTGATAAGATCTTAAAGCCGTTTACACAAGAGATGCAGTCTATATGGTGGGGTTATCCGTGATAGCACAATCAGTGTATTCGCGCTGTTTGGAGATGAAAGTTGAAGTATGGCAGAAGACCGAAAACAGGGAACTTTGGAGACAAGTGAAACGCTGCCCTTTATTGAAAAGCCATTTGTAATCGCGGAAAAGTTAAAAGAATCCAGCAACGATGAAACGGAAGGAGAAGAAGAATGTAAAGACACTTCTTGTGGATTCTGGGTTTTCAGGGGTCCTTTTATGCAAAGGTAATGGGAAACCCTTATCAAAACAAATAAATCCTAAGGGTATGCCTGTTTCAGATTTGCTACTGAAAAGATGTACGTTATCCTCTATGGGTTAGCTGGCTGTGTGATGACAATGACCTTTGCTTACTTCAACGGCACCATTACGACCTTGGAGAAGCGCTACAAGATCCCAACAAAGACTTCCGGCATTATATCGGTGGGTAATGACATAAGTACCATGTTAACAGCCGCTCTCCTGGGCTATTATGCTGGAAACGGCCATCGACCCCGCTGGATGGGAATCGGTGAGTTAGGATCTGAGTTCCGTTTTCCCCAATACATCTGATAGTGTCCCGTTTAGGATTACTGACCATCGTGGCCTTCTGCCTGCTAACCAGCTCCCTGCATTTTCTCTACGGCGCTGGCGAAGATGCCCTCAAGTTGACCCGGGAATTCGGACAGGTTAACGAGACCTTGGCCAGGCAAGAAAGGGATAAGAAATTGTGCCAGACTGGGGCAGCAGGATGTGTCCAGGAGGAGGGTCAGTGGGTGCCGCAGGTGTTCCTATTTGTGGCCCAACTCATCTCGGGAGTGGGCCAGGCTCTTTTCTATACCCTGGGCATCGCCTACATGGACGACAATGCCACCAAGTCCAAGACACCAGCCATGTTAAGTAAGTATTAAAGTTGAAGACTGGTTATATTTATTAAGGTTAATTATAATACTAGGCATGTCGACATTCCTGAGGATGCTGGGACCAGCTATTGGCTACTCCTTGGCTGCTCTCTGCCTGCGTCTGTACATTGAGCCCTCGCTGGAGCCACTGATTGGCCGGGAGGATCCGCGATGGCTGGGCGCCTGGTGGCTGGGCTGGCTAGTCCTGGCTGCCGCGACCTTGATCTCTGCCCTGCTGCTGTTCATGTTTCCCAAGGAGCTGCCCAGTTCGAGAAGGAGGCGGCTGCAACTGAAGCACGCGGAACGAAGGCAGTCACTGCCCATCAAGGAGCGATCCTTTGGCGACATGATGAAAACAGTTAGGCGGCTGGCGAGGAATAAGGTGTATGTCTACAACACCATGGCCTCCATTCTCTACTTCTTCGGCTACATGGCCTACTGGATATTCACGCCGAAGTACATCGAAACGCAGTATAGGCAGTCGGCGGCTACGGCTACGATGGCCACGGGAACGGTGGCCCTGGGATTTTCCGCCGCGGGAGTCCTCATCTCCGGCTACGTGATCTCCAAGTACAGGCCGAGTGCCAGGTCAATGGCCTGCTGGAATGCCATTGTGGATTTCGTGACGGTCGCGGGAATTCTGTGCTATGTGGCCATCGGATGTGAAGGTAGCGACAGGCTGAATTCCCTGACCACCTTGTCCGCTGGAAACAGCTGCAGTGCGTCCTGTCACTGCGACTATGTGCACTATGCCCCGGTCTGCAGTCCCGATAACATCACCTACATCTCCGCCTGCCATGCGGGTTGTACGGAAAGGACGAAGGATGCCTTGGGAAGGACCATTTACACGGGTTGCCAGTGCATGGATTCTTCCAGCCTGATCTCTGGTTCTGAGGTGGGTGATAACCAGTCATTAGGTAACTATTTTATTTATGACTCCCTTCATTTCAGTCCCAATTCGCTGTAGACGGAACCTGTCCAGTCGACTGCTTCAACGAGTTCCTGGTGTTTCTGGCGGTGATGTGCTTCCTAAAACTCGTGGGAGCATCTAGTAAATCAACGAATCTGCTCATCGCCCTGCGCTGCATGCCCCCGGAAGACAAGACGTTTGCTCTGGGATTGGGCTCCATGGTAGCTTCTTTACTTGGATTTATTCCAAGTCCTATTTTCTTCGGCTGGCTGATCGATAACTATTGCTTGGTGTGGGGCAAGACCTGTACGAACAAGGGAAACTGTTGGCTCTACGATACGAAATCTTTGAGGTGGGCAGTCCCCAGACTTACAACTTAGATATATTTATTGATAATTTCCATTTGCAGATACGCTTTAAATCTAACAGCCGCATCTTTTATATTTTTGGGCGGCTTTCTCAATATTTCTGTTTGGTATCATGCCAAGAATCTCAAGATATTTGATGAAGAGGATTTACCCAAGGGCGATTCCAATAATAAGGAAGTCGAATTGAAAACAGTGGATTCCAAATCTCCAGAGAATTAATACATTATTCCGTTTTAAGCCAAATAAACAAGCTTTGAATGGAGCTTCACTTTTTTACCGCTCCATTACATATCCAAATTGTTTGTCTTCCTGGTTAAAATCCTTTTTGGCCTTTAAAATGTCCGCTCCGGAAAGCAGTTGTCGGCGATGGATACAGAAAAATTGGGTCGATGGTAAATGTAGGAAATGTTTCGAGTCCTCCTGCGGTCCCTGCATTGACTACAGGGTATCAACGCCCAAAGGAAGCGTAGTTGAGCCGCAGGCGGATGTCGTTCATGCCATTATCGAGCCGCAGGCGAATGTACAGGCCACCATCGAACCGGAAGGTCCTGTGCGGCAGGAGATCAACATCCGGGCAGAGTGCAGCAAGGGGCGTCCGCTCCTGGAGTCCGACAAGGATAAGCTCAGGTGCTGCACCATGTGCGTGGCCCAGGAGCAGAATCTGCGACCCAATCTCTGCTCGGCGGCGTGCAGGCCACTTCAAACTAATTTACACCTAAAGGAGGTAGGAATAGATTCTCATCTCTCTATTCATTTAAAAAACCCCCCATTCCTCAGTGGACCAAGCGGCCCCGGCCCAAACCCACCTACCAACACTCGGTTATCCTAGACAATAACACCATAGTGGGTCGATGCTATCCGATCAAATTCCAGCTGAAGCGCCTGAAGAACAAGTGCTTGGATTGCGGGAACGATCTCTACTTCCGGTATCCCATCACGAACAACAGCGACCTTCTGCTTATAAAGAACTGCTGCGACGTGGAGGTCTATCCCGCCATGAAAGTGGAGAATATGAACAATGTTAGGGTGACGAAGATATCCGGAGTCAAGAAGTTTGCCAACAGCCTGCTGAAGGAGCATTCCGAGTGCCGATTGTTCACCCTGGCCAGCCAACTTCCGGCAGAAAAACCATTGATGCCCTCGCCCTCAAGGAGGAGTACTCGAAAGAGCCGGAAGAGTACGAGGAAGAGCAGAAAGAGTAGAAAGAGTACTCGGGCCAGCAGGAAAAGTAGGAAGAGCAGTAAGAAATAAGACAAAATATGCCTATAAATCCCCTGAACGGACAAAAATAACGGACAGAATACTAGAAAAATTAACAAACTAATTATATAAAAAAAATATAATACATTTTGTTCTATATCCCTATAAATTGCTTATCAAAAATAAAATCTAAAAGGAACATGAGCTCAAAATAAATTCGAGTATAACAGTTATACCATAAGGACAAAACCCTCAACGGTCAGAATACTAGTAAAATAACGAAATAATGATATGAAAATATAATAAATTTAAGAACCCAAATTAATCCATATTGCTTTTTAAACATAGAACATCTGAAAGGAACATGGGCTCAAAATAAATTCGAGTAAAACTCAAAATCTCAATGGGAACTTAAAATTGAGTAAAAGCTTGGCTCCAAATCGCTCAAATCGTTGGAGCTTCACCTTAGCTTCTGCTGCAAAGCTCCTTTCGCAAGCTTGGAATCCACAGTCCAAAAATCACTTGTTCCGTGTAGTTGTATATCTAGTGTAAATTTAATTCAAATTCAGTCGCATAAGCATACATACATAGCGTAATCCTAGAATATAATTTATGATTCAGCTTACAACGTTAATCGAGAATCAAGTGAGAATCGAAAGGAACGGGATTGGGGGACGGGGGAGTACCTAGTTTCGTTATAATTCAAGACTTTTTGCGTTCGATTGATGTGCTGCGGTTAGTTACGAGATACAAATTACGAATACTTGATGCTGTTAGCCCGGCTGCTGCTCAGCCCTGGGTTCATACGAGATTTAAAACTTAGAGTCTAGCCGACGGACCGATCTCTATACGCGGTCTTTAATCTATAATTGCTTGACTTGCAGCGCTATAAATTTAGAATTGTTTCTGCATTTCGTCGGGTCGTTTGGGCTAGTTTTTGGAAAACTGTTGGAACACTTGGCCACTGAAATGCGTCTGGTTAGTCAATTGCTAGATTTATAGTTATAGTTATGGTATAGCTAACGCTATGGCTAGGGCTATAGCTACTATCGTTAACGTTCTGCGCAAGGCGTTGTATTGCAGTTACACCGATCATTTTGAGTGATTTCGTATGTCACAACTATAGTAATTATACTTCAAGTAGTCGACTATGCTCTATGCTACGTAGTCTAGTCTATATGCACTTGATTATTAGTTTAATTTAAAAATTAGCTACTCGTCGTTCGGTCTACTGCTAGATGGATACATGTAAATATGTGTATAATTTAATTTAAATAAGCGTCTCTATACTGTCGTGTCACGTCGCGTTCCTTCGGCCTGTCAACAGTCAATCAAGGTTATTTGTGCTAAACGGGACAAGCAGTCTGTTCCGCTGGCCCTGGAAGCGTGTCAGTTGCCTATGCATCCACTGGGAAGAAGTCTTTCAGTAGGGTGGTGCGGCGCTTCTCGGCGATGTCCATTTGATTCTCCAGATCGCCCAGGTCCGTTGTCTCGGCGCGCTCAATTTTCCACGACAGGTTCTCGATCTCGGCCTCCAGTTGTGCCTGCAGGGGAAAAACATTTGTAATTTGATAGCTAGCCAGAATAAAAATTCACCCAGACCAACCTGCTGGTACTCGAAGAGATTCTTACGCGAACCCGCCTCCATGTAGTAGGCGTAGGGATAGGTGTACTGCAGGGTGTATCGACACTTGGCCAGCAGTGCCGCCGCGTTGAAGAGATACTGCCAGTCGATCCAGGTGCCGCTGCCGTTCATCACCTTGGAGTTGATCCGCTGGCGCAGCCGGTCGATCGTCTGCTGCTCGAGTTTCAGGGACTTGGAGTGGTTCTCCCAGCGCTCGTAGTAGTGCAGGTACTTCTTGAGCGCCTCACGCGCCTGCACGTGCACCGACTCGTTGGCAATGTTGGGGTTGTCCTTGTAGCGCGAGCACTCGTAGTACTCGGAGCCGTGCGTCTTCCAGTCGCCCAGGCACATCCAGCAAAAGTCGTGCTTGCAGTTGAAGCACTGCATGTGATTGCAGCCGCCGTTCTTCTCGATGCATATGTGACACTTGGGGCAGTCTTTGGTGTGGGCGCTGATGTAGTTGGCCGTCTCGCTGTCGTCGGCGCACTTGGTCAGCCACTTCTTGATCACCTGGCAGTCGGTGGGCGCGTGGTAGTCCATGCCGCACCGGAAGCAGAAGCCCGTGTGGCAAGCCTTGCAGATGGCACGTTTGGCGGAGATCTCCGATGATTGCACAATTATCTGGCAGTTGGGCCCGGGACAGAAGCGCAGTTCCGGGTGCGACTTGACGTAGTCCTTGAACGCGAACTGCTGGTACTTGTCCCGCATCACGGGACGCGTGACCAGCGTCAGCACCAGGTCCTCGGGCACCCGGACATTGCACATTTGGGCCATGCAGCCGATCTGCGTGGAGATGCCCTGGAAAATCTGCGTCTCGAAGTAAATGGTCCAGCAGTCCTTGCAGAACGAGTGGCCGCAGGCCAGGCTGTAGAACTTGTCGCCCAGCTGGGAGCTGGCGCAAACGGGGCACATCTGGCTGCGATACTGCGGCGCCGTCGAGGCCGTCGTCTTGTATCCGCTGCTCCCCAGTCGCAGCAGCTGGGCACTGGCCGCCGCCGCAGCCGCACTCGTCGAGGCGGTATCCGCCACGGCCACCGTAGGCGGCTTGATGCGCGCCGTCACCAACAGCGCGTTGGCGTCCTGGCGGTACTTCTCCACAACGGCCACGTTGTTCCACTGGTGCTCCAGCAGCAGCACCTTGGCCAGCGAGGGCGTGATCTGCAGGATGGTGTTCAGCTTCTCCACGCGCTCGTTGAGCAGTTTCTCGATGTCCTCCACCGTGAGGCAGTCGAACTCGAAGTACTCGGGATCGGCCCGTTTCGGATCCAAGCGCTCCACATCGCAGTCCTCGCCTGTAAGGGTGGGGAATATAAATTAGTTAAAGGTCTTAAGTGGTTGAAAATTATTTTAACAAACTTAATTTTTGGATTTATAATATAATTTATTTACCTTTATTTTTATTTAAAAATTAAAATTTAACTTAATTTAAATTTAATTTTTTATCAAAATAAATAACAATAATAACATTTTTCCCAAAACAAATTAAAAAGTAGGTACTACAATTCTTATTGTAAGTACTTCGTTTGTAATTTAAACTAAATTGCTTACTTTCATTACTAGAACGGAAATTTAACACAACAAGGGTTGATTGTAAGGGACTTTGAGTTAACATTGGAGTTGCATACAATTGGATACTTTTAATCCCTTATTGTATGAAACTGGTTACAGTTACAGTGGTCTCGTCAGTTACATAAGTTGGGAAAGAATAGTTTTGTTTAACAAGGAGTAAAACATAATCTTTTCATAGCCTGAAACTATAACAGTTTAGGAATACTTTTGTATACCAAGTAGGGCTTAGTCGGATCGTAAAAGATTGCTATCCTGCACTTTGTTAGCCATGCCCTTTGGCTAATTCACGAAAACAAGCCGCTCGACAAGGCTGCCATAGAAATGCTCGATGTTCCGACGTTACGGGTATCTGATTGAAGGCTGTGCTACGCGGCGTCTTGGCCAGGTCGGAACAATAAGGGACAGGTCAAGAAGCGGAGACCGAGTTGACGGAAGAGCAGGCACAAAACAAAATGCAACTGTGTACTTGAGCACGCACCTGAGGTGGTGGTGGTGTGTGTGTGTGTGTGCTGGTGTTGGTTGTGGAGCTGCGAAGAGCGTGAGCGGAGTGGCGGCCAATAATGAAGCCCAGCCACAAAACACAAACCTCGCAATCAGTCGCAACTCGCAACTACGAATTGTACTTGCCCAAGCACTGAGAGAAATTACACGTTTTTTAGGATTTGTATCTTGAATTCAAGAATAAAAAAAATTATGTATTTCTAAATCTGATATTTTTGAAATCATAATGATTTCAAGACTTCCAATATTTACCACTATCAAATAAAAACACCTCTTAACGAGGTAAAAAACTAGTGACGAACGCACCTTCAACATACAAAAGTTCTGATATCAGCATTTGTGACGAAAAATTATTACACTCGTCATTAAATAGACTTTCTAATATTTTCTCATTCGGGCCGCCCTAGCAAACTATTCCAGCCCTTTTCCCTTTACAGGCATTTTCTATTGCAGCGTGCCGAATGAGAAAATATTAGAAAGTCTATTTAATGACGAGTGTAATAATTTTTCGTCACAAATGCTGATATCAGAACTTTTGTATGTTGAAGGTGCGTTCGTCACTAGTTTTTTACCTCGTTAAGAGGTGTTTTTATTTGATATCAGAAGTTTTTGTTTGTTTACATTTGCTCTCATAGGAGCTACTATATACATTTAAATTTAAATTGGTCAATCATAATTTGTAAGCCATTTTATTTAAACGAATTAAGTTAAAAAGGCGATGAAGTATATCAAAATACCTTTTAAACGAGTTATAGCACATGTCTGTAGCTTTAGTAGTGTTGAACTTACAAACTAACGAAATTTAGCTATTTTTAGCTTTTTTCCCGCTGAAGTAGCGGTTTTTTCCAAAAGTCGTAGAACAAAAGATTCCTATATGGAACTCTTAAGTGCAAATTTGCTGATTCCATGACCCTAAAATACAGTTCGTATACCCTCACATAAAATTCAATACTCAGGGAGCGTTAGTTGTTCGAGCTGGCAAAAGTGGCTATTTTCGTATAAAAATAACTTTTAAACGTGACTTTTTACAGTAATGTGTTATATACCAAAATTTAAGGAATCTTAAGGGCTATACTGTTTAAAGTTGTAAAGAAAATCGTTAGAGCCGTTTTTGAGAAAATTAAAAAAAAGCTAAAAAGAAAGTTTAAAAAAAATGTCTTTTGTTCATATCTTTTTAACTATTACATTTACACAAATTGCATATAGAGGGGTTTATAGCATTTAAAAAATACCTTTCAAACGAGATGCAGCACAAGTCTGTAGCTTTAGTAGTATAGAAGTTACGGAATTCGAATTTTAGCTATTTATAGCTGTTTTCCCGCTAAACTAGCGAGTTTTTCCAAAAGTGGTAGAACAAAATTTTGTTATATCGATGTGATGGACGTCATATCAAATTTTCAAAACTTAAAAAACATGTTTTGGACAAACTGACAAACTGACAAACAGAATTAAATTTTCATTTTGGGAAGACGAAGAAAATCTTAATGTGCATAAAGTTAGCGATGCAACTTTTGAAAATGCAAATTTTTTTCTATCGACAATTTGCCGTTATTTATCCGTAAATTATTCGTGAAAGAAAAAAATTTGCCGCTCAATTATTTTTAAAATTATGAGATGTTCTGCTAAGTTGATATCAACTTAGCAGAACACCCCACTAAAGTTCAAAATATCCAAAATCTTTTTTAATGGGAATTTGCCGTTATTTTGCCGTAAATTATTCGTGAAAGAAAAAATTTAGTTGCTCTTGTTTTAACATTGTTTTTTTAAAAAAACATAGTTGTTCTGCTAAGTTGATATCAACTTAGCAGAACACCCCCACTAAAGTTCAAAATTTCCAAAATCTTTTCTAATGGGAATTTGCCGTTATTTATCCGTAAATGATTCGCGAAAGAAAAAATTTTGTTGCTCTTGTTTTAACATTTTTTTTTTAAAACACATAGTTGTTCTGCTAAGTTGATATCAACTTAGCAGAACACCCCCACTAAAGTCCAAAATATCCAAAATCTTTTTTAATGGGAATTTGCCGTTATTTTGCCGTAAATTATTCGTGAAAGAAAAAATTTAGTTGCTCTTGTTTTAACATTTTTTTTTTAAAACACATAGTTGCTCTGCTAAGTTGATATCAACTTAGCAGAACACCCATACCAAAGTGTAAAATTTCCAAAATCTTTTTTAATGGGAATTTGCCGTTATTTATCCGTAAATGATTCGCGAAAGAAAAAATTTAGTTGCTCTTGTTTTAACATTTTTTTTTTAAAACACATAGTTGCTCTGCTAAGTTGATATCAACTTAGCAGAACACCCCACTAAAGTTCAAAATTTCCAAAATCTTTTCTAATGGGAATTTGCCGTTATTTATCCGTAAATGATTCGCGAAAGAAAAATTTTGTTGCTCTTGTTTTAACATTTTTTTTTAAACACATAGTTGTTCTGCTAAGTTGATATCAACTTAGCAGAACACCCCACTAAAGTCCAAAATATCCAAAATCTTTTTAATGGGAATTTGCCGTTATTTATCCGTAAATGATTCGCGAAAGAAAAATTTTGTTGCTCTTGTTTTAACATTTTTTTAATAATAGTTGTTCTGCTAACATATGTATGTACAACGCGGACGGTAGCAGAGCTCTGCTGACGTCGACGTCAAATGTGTAAAATTTCCGCGAATTCTGCTTCTGTGAGAAGCAACATCCATTTTTCATGTTTAAAATTTTTAACTTTTGATTATGTGTAATTCTGTAAATAATATTGACTCAGACTCACTGCAGAAATTAATAAACCTCCAGGACGCAGAATTCGCGGGAATTTTACACATTTGACGTCGACGTCAGCAGAGCTCTGCTACCGTCCGCGTTGTACATACATATGTTAGCAGAACAACTATTATTAAAAAAAGGTTAAAACAAGAGCAACAAATTTTTTTCTTTCGCGAATCATTTACGAATAAATAACGGCAAATTCCCATTAGAAAAGATTTTGGAAATTTTGAACTTTAGTGGGGGTGTTCTGCTAAGTTGATATCAACTTAGCAGAACATCTCATAATTTTAAAAATAATTGAGCGGCAAATTTTTTTCTTTCACGAATAATTTACGGATAAATAACGGCAAATTGTCGATAGAAAAAAATTTGCATTTTCAAAAGTTGCATTGCTAACTTTATGCACATAAAATCTTATTTTGGCTATAACTTTTGAACGGAGCGTCGGATTTTGACAAATGACCCCTCATTCGACGGGTATTTTCAAAAGGAATACAACTAAAATATTGCGAGGGGGCATTTATCCCCACCGGCCCCAACAGCTCCCAATTTCGAAATTTTCACTTTTTCACTTTCACCGCTCTCTCTCCCAAGCCAATTGATTTTCTTAGAGTCTTGGTATGCAATCCTGTTAGTTTTCGCAATACCTTTCGATAGGTGTATCATTCATTATGATCGGACCATCACAGTAGATTTTCATTTCTTCGTGTATATATAGTAGTCGCCTTCGCACACTCTCCTGGTGCGCTTCGTCACTACATGGACTGCCGTCCATAGTGATAAGGACGTTGGAATTATTCAACTTTTGATTAAATTTAGGCTAATGCTGGTTAATTTAATTGCTGTAATTCTTTTATTAGGAAATCTGTATTATTGAAATACTAATAGAAAACTATTGAAACACAATTTTGTAAATTTATCATTGAAGCTTTAGCATTTTCCTGAATAAACCCCCTTTTTCCCTCTCTGTAGCTACGTGCGTGTGTGTTGGTTTCAAGTTCAATTCCATAATTTCAGCTTCATGGTCAGCGAAGAAAGGGCGGGGACCGAAAGGGGGGCGTGGGGGCTTGGTAGTGGAACCCAAGGCGAATGTCAAGTGCTGAATGCAAATTCTCGGGTCTTATGGGCCTCCCAAAAAGGTGAATAACCAAACCAACTGCCTTGTGAGTGTGTGTGAGTGTAGTTCCTCACAGAAACACTCGTACCCCCATTTGGCCTCAGTTAAATCGATGGCTGATTGTTGTCAGGAGGAAACCCTTTAGTATACTTCCACTGTACTATGATTATCTTACCTGTGTTGTAGTAATCGTAGTCGTCGTCGTACTCCCCATCGTTGTCCGATTCCAGATCCATTTCGATATCAGAGTCCATCTCGGGCAATTGGCGATTGGGATTTAGATTTGGATTTGGGCACGGGATGTTTGGTTGGGAACTCGAAATCCTGGCGAGGACACTCCGTGTGCGAGAGTGTGTGTGTGCGGGGGGTGCCTCTCTTCCGCTTGCTCTTTTGTAACAGTTGTTGTAAGGGCGCTGGTGGTTGCTGTTGTTATTTTTTTTCCAGGCGGTGGATGAAGGACAACGGGGATGGGGGAAGGAGGGATGGTGGATAATGGATAGTGGCCGATTTAGAGCGATGATGCAGTTTCCCGGATGAACCTTGCGGGGGGTTGCTATTCGTCGGCGGGGAGAGGTCCCTTGTTTTATTTTCGTTTATCCACATGCATACACACACACGCGCCCTCTCGCTCTCACGCACACACACTCGCACTCGCACAGCCGTTGCACTCAACTCAAGGTGTTTCTGATTTCCCTGCAGTTTATTTTCATCTTCCGCTATTTTTAGACCAAGTCTATGCACCACTGGCAATGCAGAAAACGCACAGCACTCGCCAGTTGTCACTAACTTTTTGCGTTTCAAGCGAGCACAGCTTTTGCATAGAACATTTTGATTTTGTTTCTTCTTTGTCTTTGTCTTTCTAGTGCTGGGCAACCACTGACGATACTATCGATACAGCAGGGACTGGGGTTCTGCGAAACTATCGAAAGTTTAGTATCGATAGCGGTCATACGATTAAATCAGGTGTTCAAGGCATTTGACGGTTTTTCGTTTATAAGTCGGCTCATCAGCAATTTATAAAAGGGTTTTTTAAATCATCATTAATCATTTTTTAACTTTAAAATGGGATAATAACGTGGAACCATGACCTTAGGTCATTCTTCATATAAGCTTTAGGGCTTTAAAACGTTTTGGGTCGACATAAAAATAAGGTTATTACCCGAATTGTTATTAAATTTGTTACTATCGGAAAAGTATTAAAAGTTTACGGAAAAACATCGAAAGTGTCACTCAATAGTTTGCCAGCTCTAATCGGACTGATAAGAAAACCGCCAATCACAAAATGTTTATCCATGACATAAACCAAAACAACTGCGCCTTTCTAAGACAAAAACCAACTCAGCAATACAATTCGACTCCAACTTTTAAAAAATTTAAAAAATAACTATTTTCCAATGCGAAGAAAGGTGCCCATAATCGGATTGATAACTGAAAGTTTTATATAAGCTCCAATGAAACTCGCCATTTGCCAACCTTTATTTCGAATATAGTCTAGACAAGGCCTTCTTTATTTATTGCTAAAAACATATTTAAGTTAATTATAAATAATTTTAATATATTAAATATCTATAAAAGATCTTAGTAAACTTTTATTCCAATTTGGAAAATTATCTAAATCACTTTATTTTTTGTTCGACCTGACCGCTCTTGGATTCTTGGGCTTTCTTGTCTTTATCCTTGCCCGACTTTACTTCGGTGCACAAAAACTCCAAGAAAGATCCGAAGCTTGCCAAAAAAGTATCTGGAACGAGATTCATCTTCTTTTCATCTCCCTCTTTTTTAATTTTTTCAGCTTCTTCAAGAACTCCATTTTCGCAGCCGACTAGTAAGGATTGAAAACCACAGATATTGGCAAATAGAATGTCTGACTTCAGCCTAAAATGAAATCATTTGTTTTAATCTTGTTATTTTCATTTACTTTAAAATAAAAGTTTTATTAAAGAATTGTATTGATTATATAAAAATAATTGTATTATTTAAACTAAAAGTAAACCCCTTTGTAGTAATGAGATCCTAAACCTTAAACTTTAAACGTGACTGTCTCCAAACCAGGATTCTATAATAGGGTTTGAGTGTTTTCGATTCAATTTTATCAAAAATATTTAAAGTTCTGTGTGGAGAAAATTCGTCTGACTTACGAGTTTCCTATCATAAGCGTCTTATCCGGCTTGATTTCGCCAGACTCCAACAGCTTGCCCAAAATGCGAGGATTCGGTTTGCCCAAGACGGTCGGCTTGCGTTGAACTATTATTTCGATGGCAGCTACTATGGTGCCCGCGTCCGGAACTCGCTTGTTGCCGAGGGTCTGGAATGCATCCGTGCTGGTGGCCAGGAAAAGGACCTTGGGATTCTGCAGATAGTTGCAGGCCACAAGCAACTGGTTCGTCTCCATGCCGTCCTCTCTTGTCACCAGAACAGCCCCCACATCCGGGTCGAGAACCATGGACCTGACCCAATCCATTCTTCCGTCGCCATGGGGTCTTTTATGATTGACAGCCGAGCAGAAGCCGGCACTTGTGAGATCCCTGCAGATGCCTTCGCCGCCCAGAACGAGCACCTTCTTATTGAACTTCCTTTCGATAAGGTAATTCGATATGGAAGCCGCCGAACTGAAAACGTCCTGCTCCTTGACCTTGAAGCCCAGATCCTTGGTCTTTTGGAACAAATCCGACTTTGTTAGGCAACAGGAATTGGTTACTATTAGACTGCGTTTTCCTTTGGCTCTGATGGCATTAAAGGCCTCCACGGCTCCCTCGATGGGCTGGTTCTCCTGCCACAAAACCCCGTCCGTGCTGCAGATAATGGTCTCGATCCCGCTTAGCCATTCGGCCACCTGCGATTTGGCCATCTTATCCAAATGGCTCACACTGCGCTTGAGCATTATGCAATTTTGAGTTAATTTAGTTTCCTTGATGGATTTCGAAATTTAGGATCCCATGCCTTTGCTATGGCATTATTTTCAAAGTCGAAGAATTTAATATAGAGGAATTCGAGTGATGAAAGTTTGTCTAACTAATGATTTACTTTTTCCACCGCCCAAATTAAACAATAACAGCTTTCCTTTAATGAAATTCACCATCACGAGATGCGGTCCAAAATACATCCAATTGATGAAAATGCAAAAAATATTGCGATAAGTTAGCTATCACGTTCCCCGCAGATTAAGATTAAGACACTTTACGACCCCAAACGTGACTGAACTGATTCAGATAGCCGTGCGTACAGGTGACTTCAGCATTTTGGGATCATGAGCTAGACAAATGGGCAACGGCTCTTGGGTTTTTGACGTAACGAAGGTCAAACATTCATTCGCAAGGAACCAAAAAAGCAATTTTGTATTATAAAGTGGTAAGTAAGATAGAACAGAACCACCGAGCACCATGCTAGATAGAGCTGGATTTATGAGAGATACGAGAGGTACATTCCAGCCGAGATATGTACATATGTCCGGAGGTCCATAAAGGGGAAATAAACCTAAATTTAGGTATTCTTTGTCTGGAGCAGAATAATCCACCGCACACGCAGCCCGTCAGGCTATATAAGCCCGTGCTATCGCCTTAATTCGGTGTAGTAAGTGAGATTTCACCAGCAGCAAACCAATTTAAGATGGTCTCCTCCCAGAGGCAGTTTTTGCTCCCGATCCTGGGGCTCCTGGCCTTGGCCGGCACAGCTCTCAGTGGAGTCCAGGAGGTGCACAATGTGCTCGAGCTGACGGGTCAATCGGTCAACAAGCTGAGGTTCTCCACGGATGTGGCCACCGACAAGTACACCCCGCCGGAGGAGATGGATGCCCAGTTCTGGTACGACATTGCCGACGAGGAGATCACCAAGCGGCTGCAGCTGCCACAACCCAATGCGAAGAAGGCCAAGAACATTATTTTGTTCCTCGGCGATGGTATGCCACTCGCCACCGTGGCAGCTGCTCGCATCCTGAAGGGACAGCGCCAGGGAAACACCGGTGAGGAGTCCTCGCTGAGCTTCGAGCGATTCCCCTACACTGGCTTGAGCAGGGTGAGTTCTCTGGTGAAGATCCCTATTGAAAATTCAATCTAATATTGTGTATTATTCCCGCAGACCTACTGCACCAACGCCCAGGTGCCCGACTCCGCCTGCACAGCCACCGCTTACTTGTGCGGCGTGAAGACCAATATCGTCAACATTGGAGTCAGTGCCGCCGTGGAGTATAATAACTGCACCGCCAGTCAGGATCCGGCCAACCGCCTGACCTCCATTGCCGAGTGGGCCCAAAACGCAGGGAAATCCACCGGTATTGTGACCACCACCACTCTGACCCACGCCAGTCCCTCGGGAGCCTATGCCAAGACGGCCAACCGGATGTGGGAGTGCGATACGGATGTGACCAGCTATGGAGCAGACGCCAGCACCTGCATCGACATGGCCACCCAACTGGTGACCCAGACGCCGGGCAAGAACTTCGAGGTCATGTTCGGCGGCGGAATGGGCAAGTTCCTGCCCAGCAGCATCGTGGATAGTCACGGAAAGGCTGGCGAGCGATCAGATGGAGTGAACCTGCTGTCCCGCTGGCAGGGACTTCACGATGGCGGCGTCCTGGTCACCAACCGCAATCAGCTGCTCAAGTTGAACGTCTCGGCCGTGTCCAGCGTCATCGGACTCTTCCAATCGAAGTTGATGGACTTCCACCTGGAGGCGGATGACTCCTACCAGCCCACCCTTTCGGAACTCACCGAGGTGGCCATCAAGAAACTGAGCCAGAACGAGAACGGATACTTTGTGTTTATCGAAGGTGGTCTCATTGACTATGGCAACCACTATACAAAGGCCGGTTATGCTTTGGATGAGGCCCTGGAGTTCGAGAAGGCCATTCAGTTGGCCCGCGACATGACCGACATCGAGGACACGCTGATTGTGGTGACCGCCGATCACGGACACGCCGTCAGCATAGCCGGATATCCTGGCAGAGGAACTCCCATCCTGGGCATCAATCAGCACGACACCGATATCAATGGAGTCAAGTACTCGGTGCTCAATTACGCTGCAGGACCTAATCAGTATCTGGATGAGACTGGCCAGCGTATTCCCTTGGACGATATCCTAGGTGCCGATGACGCCATCACGCCCAGTTACATCGCCAAGGATCAAGGCGTGCACTCCGGCGAGGATGTGGGCATCTTCGCCTCCGGTCCCCAGAGCCACCTTTTCACCGGAATGATGCAGCAGAGCACCATTCCCCACCTGATGGCCTACGCCTCGTGCATTGGAAGCGGTCAGAAGGTGTGCGACAACTTAGAGTAACGTAGATAAAAATAGCAGGAAATTGGAAGCTGAAGCTTGATCTGAAGTTTTTGTTTCCATAATAAAAATGTACTTAGCAATCTGATAAGCATGAGTTTTATTTGATTTAATACGGTTATCTCAAGAATCAATTAGTCATTTTGTTTAAGAGATCATAATAAGGGTACAAAAATTAAGCAACTGACAAAAAATATTAAAGTAGGTACCTTACATAAATCCTTTAATCTATGGCAAGAATGGTTTAAGTAACTTTTAAAGGTGTTTTAACATATATGTTACTTCTTTTTAAGAATCAAAAAATAATAATGTTTGCTTCCAGTGGAAACATTTTTTATTAAAATATTAAGATTTACTTCTTAAACGTGCATTTGTAGATTAGATACTAAATTAATTCTTTTACTTCGTAATTATCTTCTATAGTACAATGGTTATGGTAGACTGTTTGTTTGCCCCTGTATCTTATAATTGTTCCGGCTATTGCCATCAACTTTTCAAGCACTTATCCTTAGCTGCGTCCAAAATGTCACCTTAAGAGCGGTGTAGTTGCGTTCCATGATCAGGCGTCAAGTTTTTTTACACAAAATTAATAACAAAATAATTTAAAATGTACCCCTTCGAAATCGTATAGATCCTCCACCCCGATCGTGGCTCAAAATCTAAATCTACAATGCAAGTTCTTTTATCATCCGCCTTCCATTGGCTCAGGCTTTTGAACTGGTAGCACAGTCTATTGACTGAAAGAACCCCTACAATAATAAACTTTACACTCTAAGAACTGTGTAAATATAAAACCATATACCGAGATTTTTTGGAGACGTTTGAGTTATAGAGATTTTGTCATAGAGATAAAACAATTAAGATAAAAAAAAGCCTAAAAAGTGTGTATAAATAGGCGCGTGTTGAGCGTTCGCTTGCCTTGACTAAAATAATTCTGCACAAAATATAGACCTTTGTCGCCGTAATGATGAGATGTTCCCTATCCTATCCATTTATAGGAAAAGACTTACTTACCCATTAGTTAACATTATCAGATAATTTATTTTGTTATTCAATAAAGTTGAGTTGACAAAATATAACTAATAGTACGATGATTTGTTTTTTGAAACGCCCGATTAAATAATAACAACTTTCTCCAATCTTATGGTGTGCTGTTTACCTTCCTCGAGAAAATGCAACAGCCCGAGTGATAAGGCAGTCACACGTTACCTGAAGATTACGATCATGAGGCTGCGTTAGATCTTTACGACCGCAAACGTGACTGATTCACTATTCAGATTGCTGGAATAATTATTTGCACAGGTGATCTAAGCACTTTAAGGATCACGATCTAAACAAGTGGCAGAGCGAAGGTCAAATATTCGCAAAAACCAAAGCGATAATTTTATCAGCTTTACATCTGGAATGGGTTTGATAGTGGGATAGTAAGTTGTAAGTTTCAGCTGATCTTCCTGGAAACACCAACAGAGATAAGTCCAGGGGTCCATAAAGCGGGAATAAACCTAAATTTAGTTATTCCTTGTTTGGAGTACAATAATCCGATGCAGTCCATATAAGCCCTTGAAATCAGAACAGCTCGTTGTAGTTTGTGAAATTTCGCTGCACTAGAAAGAAGCAATTTCCCGCAATGCAGTTACTGCTTCCGATTCTGGTGCTCCTTGGCTTCTCCGGTTTAGCACTCAGCGGAGTCCAGGAAGTGCACAATGTATTCGAGCTGACGGGCCAGAAAGCCAGCAGGGAGTTCTCCACGGATGTGGCCAACGGCAAATACACTCCGCCGGAGGAGATGAATCCCCAGTTCTGGTACGACCTCGCCGACGAGGAGATCACCAAGAGACTGCTGCAGCCACAACCCAATTCAGTGAAGGCCAAGAACGTCATTATGTTCCTCGGAGATGGTATGCCACTCGCAACCGTCACAGCTGCTCGGATCCTGAAGGGACAGCGCCAGAACAAGACCGGTGAAGAGTCCTCGCTGAGCTTCGAGAGATTCCCCTATTCGGGCTTGAGCAGGGTAAGTTTCAGTTGAGGAGTTTTTATACCCGTTACTCGTAGAGTAAAAGGGTAGGGGAGAGTGGGGGAATTTCGTCACAGGGGCAATTTCGTCACCTGCAATATCTCGGAATCCATAAGTCGTAAAAATATATAATTTTTTTGTTTTAGCCCTACAAGACGGCCAGACACAACCAATGCATTTGTTTTGCACAGAAGGCCAAGATAATTAAGCTATAATATTAAATGTGTTTTAACAGTTCAAAAGCTACATTTAGTTCTCGACGAAATTTTTCTGTATGCCACAATTCAAAAGGAATAAGATACACGATTTTTTATATAATACACAGTGCTATAATGTGCATTTCTGCGTCAGTGATTTTTAACTTCGCGCCTAATTTCGGAAGAAAAATAATTATTTCTAAAAAAGTACGGTCTGGGGAAATTTCGCCACCCTACGCTAAGGGTAAATTCGCACCTATTTTAAATACATATTTTTATATTTGACGAGCTGGCTAGCGAACAGACTACCAGCAGCAGCAACAAATATAGGACGTCAACAAAAATGGTACGCTCGATCAGTGTAACATACTTACAGGCGTAAAGTTCCCTACATTTTTCAGGTGACGAAATTTCCCCAGTTGTGTGGTGATTTTACCCCCTATGTGGTGAGATTGCCCCAGTATATTGGTTTTACTTTTTAATTTTTATAAATCACCAAGTTAATTAAAAAAATAGGGAATGTCACATTTTAAAGCTTAGTGCTAACCGCATTCAACTATAAAAATAGAAATATGATAACGTGTCTCAAGATGGACAATAAATAGCTTTGAAAAAATGCTGACGAAATTCCCCCACTCTCCCCTATACTAGATTCGTGCAAAAGTATGTAACAGCTAGAAGGAAGCGTTTCCGACCCCATAAAGTATATATATTCTTGATCAGGGTCACTAGCCGAGTCGATCTAGCCATGTCCGTCTGTCCGTCTGTCCGTCTGTCCGTCTGTCCGTCTGTATGAACGCTGAGATCTCAGAAACTACAAAAGCTAGAAGGTTGAGATTTCCCACACATATTCTTTGGCTTCCTACGCAGCGCAAGTTTATTTTAGCCGAGCGCCACGCCCCCTCTAACGCCCACAATCGCCCACTAACGATTTTAAAATGGGTCCTGCGCCCACATCTTTAAAGATTTCCGAGAAATATAAATGCAATTTTGTTGTGTATATTTATACCTATCGAAATGTAGAAGACATTTTTCAAATCGGACCATTCATTAAAAAGTTATACGATTTATAAATTGTCAACATATATCTATCTCCCTCGCACTCCCTTTAGCTGAGTTACGATTATTAGTCGGGACACCAACCCGACACAGCGTTCGCACTCCCTTTAGCGGAGTGACGGGTATTAGATAGTCGGGACACCAACCCGACTATAGCGTTCTCTCTTGTTATACCCGTTACTCGTAGAGTAAAAGGGTATACTAGATTCGTGCAAAAGTATGTAACAGCTAGAAGGAAGCGTTTCCGACCCCATAAAGTATATATATTCTTGATCAGGGTCACTAGCCGAGTCGATCTAGCCATGTCCGTCTGTCCGTCTGTCTGTCTGTCTGTCTGTCTGTCTGTCTGTCTGTCTGTCTGTCTGTCTGTCTGTCTGTCCGTCTGTATGAACGCTGAGATCTCAGAAACTACAAAAGCTAGAAGGTTGAGATTTCCCACACATATTCTTTGGCTTCCTACGCAGCGCAAGTTTATTTTAGCCGAGCGCCACGCCCCTCTAACGCCCACAATCGCCCACTAACGATTTTAAAATGGGTCCTGCGCCCACATCTTTAAAGATTTCCGAGAAGTATAAATGCAATTTTGTTGTGTATATTTATACCTATCGAAATGTAGAAGACATTTTTCAAATCGGACCATTCATTAAAAAGTTATACGCAATCAAAAATTATATATCTATCTCCCTCGCACTCCCTTTAGCTGAGTTACGATTATTAGTCGGGACACCAACCCGACACAGCGTTCGCACTCCCTTTAGCTGAGTGACGGGTATTAGATAGTCGGGACAACAACCCGACTATAGCGTTCTCTCTTGTTTTAAATTGAAATAGTACACACAAAAAAAAGCATGTTCCATATCGTTTTTACATTAAATACTCTTTTCGACCAGGTCAAATTTATCTATATCAAATTAAAATTGATCTTAAATAATGTAAAATCGATCTACGTTTCATTTTGATTTTTTTTTTTTTGGTTTCAAAGAACTTTCTGTATTTGGCTAGTTTTTCTATTGCTTTCATACTACAATACTTTTAAGCGTGTGTCCTAATCATAAAACTTTTTTCTCTTATCTCCACAGACCTACTGCGCCAACGCTCAGGTACCAGATTCCGCCTGCACTGCCACCTCTTATCTGTGCGGCGTGAAAACCAACATAATTAATATCGGCGTAAGTGCGGCTGTAAACTTTAATAACTGCACCGCCAGCCAGGATCCAGCGAACCGCTTGACCTCCATTGCCGAATGGTCCCAGAATGCTGGCAAGTCCACGGGATTCGTGACCACCACCACGCTGACCCACGCCAGTCCCTCGGGAGCCTATGCCAAGACGGCCAACCGGATGTGGCAGAGCGACACGGATGTGACCAGCTACGGGGTGGATGCCAAAACCTGCATCGACATGGCCACCCAACTGGTGACCCAGACGCCGGGCAAGAACTTCGAGGTCATGTTCGGCGGCGGGATGGGCAAATTCCTGCCCAAGACCATCAAGGATAGCCACGGAAAGGCTGGCGAGCGATCTGATGGTGTGAATCTTCTGTCCCGTTGGCAGGGACTCCACGATAAGGGTGTCATGGTCACCAATCGCAAGCAGCTGCTCAACCTGAACGTCTCATCTGCGTCCAGCATTATTGGGGTCTTCCAGTCGGGCCTGATGAAATTCCACATGGACGCGGATGCCACCTACCAACCTACCCTCTCCGAACTCACCGAGGTGGCCATCAAGAAACTGAGCCACAACGAAAAGGGATACTTTGTTTTTATTGAAGGTGGGTTTTACCTAAAGAGATCATATCTTGAATATAGTCATATAGCTTAATCAAAATAAATATACATATTTTTAGGTGGTCTTATTGACTATGGCAACCATTACACCCAAGCCGGTTATGCCTTGGATGAGGCCCTGGAGTTCGAGAAGGCCATTCAGTTGGCCCGGGACATGACCGACATCGAGGACACGCTGATTGTGGTGACCGCCGATCACGGACACGCAATTAGTATCGCCGGATATCCTGGCAGAGGAACTCCCATCCTGGGACTTAATCACCACGACACCGATATCAATGGAGTCAAGTACTCGGTGCTCAATTACGCTGCGGGACCTAATCAGTATTTGGATGAGACTGGCCAACGTATTCCCTTGGACAATATCCTCGGCCCGGATAACGCCATCTCACCCAGCTATATTGCTAAGGAAATAGGTGTACACTCCGGCGAGGATGTGGGTATCTGGGCCTCGGGTCCGCAAAGCCATTTATTTACCGGAACGATGCAGCAGAGTACTATTCCCCACCTAATGGCCTACGCCTCATGCGTTGGCAGCGGAAAGAAGGTGTGCACAAACTAAATTGGGAACTTCTTTTACTGAAGAATTTAATACAAAGGGTTTAAAGTCATACGTTAAAATATATTTATAGATGTTAAAAACATATTAAAATAATATTTAAAAAGTTAAACAAAAATGTATTATTTAATTGTTCGCATATAGTGATAAATGATTTAGGGAAGTTATTAAAAATATGTAACTTGCTATTTACTATCATTTGTATTATTTCCACATAGATAAATCTTGATGAAGCTAACATATCTCTTGAATCTAAAATGATATAATACTTTTCATTACAGTCCAGCTTCCAAAGCTCGAACCACAAAAAAAGTTCCTCTTAGATTTCTACTATCTCTATTGAAAATAAAACTAGTTCGACTTATGTATAGTGACTTCAGTTAAGAAAGTTTGAGTTTACGAAGTTCAACTGTGAGTATTTGCTACTCCGAGTACGATTCTTCTTCTATTCAAGAATTATCGTCTGTTTTTTCGGCAATCTTTATAGCTTTTAATAAGCACAGTTGTGGTCTTAAACTCATGTATCACTTAAAGCCAGCCACCCCCACTAATTCACCTTGAATGAGGGGTGGGGTCAGATCCCATTGCTTAAAGTCTTGGTGCCGTGCCCACTTTTAAAAGCCGATGTGTTCGCAATTCATTGGTCTAGAATTTTGGACTGGTAGCCAGGTCTGTTGACTCAAGAACCCGTAAAAATGGTCATAAACTCTAATGACCAAAAGACTATGTAAATACTAGGCCATAAAGTGAGATCTTTCTGAGACGTTTTGAGCTATGGGACTTATGCCACGGAGATATGGGAACTTAGATAACACCAGTCTAGAAAGGTTAATAAATAGCCGCGGTAGAAATCCTGGCCTTAGTTCAATCGCTGGTCCCAAACCGAAAATGAAGAGCTACGTGGGCATTATCTTGGTGCTAAGTGCCCTGGTGGCCACCTCCTTCTCCGCTTCCATAGACAGTGAGTGCTGGAGATGGACCCTGCATCGTACAGAAGTCTTACAAAAATTACATTTACAGTTCAAGAGATCCATAATCAAAACCAGCTGGTGGGAGGATCGAGCATAGTAAAAACCCGTGAATCCAACCTCATCGATCCCAATGCCTTGGCCAAGGGAAAGACGGGCCCGGAGGAGGAGAAGAACGCCCAGTTCTGGTATGACTTGGCCGACGCGGAGATTGCCAAGCGTCTGGAGCAGCCGCAATTGGACAAGAGGAAGGCCAAGAATGTGATCCTGTTCCTGGGCGACGGCATGTCCCTTTCCACGGTGGCAGCCGCCCGCATCCACAAGGGTCAGCTGAAGGGCAATACCGGCGAGGAGGATTCCTTGAGCTTCGAGAAGTTCCCCTACACCGGCCTAAGCAAGGTGAGGGTTAGAAATTAGCTTTTAGATTATAAGTATGCAGCACAGTGCTCGATTCCTGGCAGTCCTGGATAAAAGCTAATATGGTTCTAAAAATTCGAGTCCAAACGATCCTAAATAAAATTTTGATTTAAATACAATTCGATGTTAAAATTAATGTTTTTAATTTGGTCTGACTTCTAGAAAATAATTAAATTTTAAACTATAGTTATGAAACGAGATCATTTTAAATTATTAAGATAAATTTGAATTGGTCGATGTTAAGAGTATTCCGTGTAAATGCGATATGAGTCTGACTGATGTCTACATAGCCAGATGTTTTAACCAAGAACTTCCACTTTTTGAAAAAAATTGTAAATTTTTGTTTTTCTTCCAATATTGGGGCTTTTACTCAAGTTCAGAATACAGGTACTCAATTTGAGAATGTCGTCTTACTTCCAGTATTCCCCCTGTGCAGTTATAATGTATCCAAATTAATGATGTGCTGATTTTTCCCTCAGACCTACTGCTCCAATGCCCAAGTTCCCGACTCCGCCTGCACGGCCACCGCCTATTTGTGCGGCGTGAAGACCAATATCGTGGCCCTGGGCATCACGGCTGCCGTGACCTTCAACAACTGCAGTGGCAGCGAGGACCCGGCCAACCAGGTGGACTCGATCGCCGCCTGGGCTCAGGCTGCCGGCAAGGCGACGGGCATCGTGACCACCACCACGCTGACCCACGCCAGTCCATCGGGCGCCTATGCCAAGACCACCAATCGATTCTTCGAGAGCGACACTGACATTGTGACCTACGGCGAGGGCCAGAACGATCCGGCCACCTGCACGGACATCGCCACCCAGCTGATCACCCAGGCGCCCGGCAAGAACTTTGACGTGATGCTGGGCGGCGGAATCGGCAAGTTCCTGCCCAACACCATCACGGATCCGTTCAACAAGAAGGGCGAGCGATCCGACGGCGTCAACCTGCTGTCCCGCTGGCAGGGTCTGCATCCCGGCGGCGTTTTGGCCTACAATCGCGACCAGCTGCTGAGTGTGAATGCCTCGAAGATCACCAATCTGATTGGCACCTTCCGTTCGGGAGTGATGAGCTTCAACAAGCTGGCCGATCCCAAGGAGGAGCCCACTTTGGCGGAAATGACGCGCAAGGCCATCGAGGTGGTTAGCAAGTGTGAGGAGGGCTACTTCCTGTTCGTGGAGGGCGGCCTGATCGACTACGGCAACCACTTCAATTCGCCTACTTACTCGCTTAGCGAGACCCTGCAGTTCGAGCAGGCGGTTCAGGAGGCTCTGGACCTGACCAATCCCGAGGAGACCCTCATCGTGGTCACCTCCGATCACGCTCACCCGCTGACCATCTCCGGTTATCCCGGCAGGGGCACCCCCATCCTGGGACTCAATCAGGATGACACCGATGTGAATGGCATTAAGTACGCCACTCTGAACTACGCTGTGGGCACGGAGCAGTATCTGGATGAGCATGGCCAGCGCATCGACCTCTCCGATAAAATCGGAGCTGAGGGTAAGTGATAAGGGAGCTAAGTGATATCACATCTGAATTAATATCAGAGAATTTCCAAATATTAATATCAGTTTAAGCAAGTTGCACTTCTGAAAATATGGTTCATAAGATTCCTTTCTTATACAGAAAGAAAAATTCAAGCAATCCAAGAAAACCGTGAAAGCACAAATGTTAAATTGAGTTTATTCAACCACTTTTTAATAGGCATCGTTGAGATAAACATTGTAAGAAGCGTCGATTCAACTTAAATCAAGCTCATTGAAAACATTATCAACTTATCAAAAATGTCTTTTTATTTTTTAGAGCATTTTAAAGTCAGATAAGAGCACCTGAATTCTCTCTGTGTAGTGTTTGAGTTCAAATTGCAATGACAATATGATAAAGAATTTTGTTATAGAACTTATTCGTACTAATTGTAGTATAATAATTATATTAAAATAATATTAGTTATACTTAACTATAACCCTGTAAAAGTAAATGGATTAAAAAAGCTTTTCTTATATTTAATCATTTTTAACCCTTACACATTACAACTTAATAATGTCTTGTACTATCTGCTTTCCTTCTAGACTTCATCCATCCCAGCTACATCCATGGCCTAATTGGCGTCCATGCCGGCGATGATGTGGGCATCTTTGCCACTGGCCCCCAAAGTCACCTCTTCACCGGATCGATGCAGCAGAGCACCATTCCCCACGCGATGGCCTACGCCTCCTGCATTGGCAACGGACGCACTCTCTGCGACAATGAAGACGACTAGAATTTTAACAAGCAAATTTATAATGTAGAGTATTTGAAAAGCACTCCCACATTTGACTTTCATTTTTAGGGGGCACTTTCGAGAAATCAATAATCAAATTTGGCCCGACTTTCGTAATTTATTGCATGTGTCTGCCGAATTGACTTCAATTTAAAACGCATCAGCAGACAGATGCAGATATAGAAATATCACATCGATTTGTTGCCAGTTTGGTTGGCTGTCACTTGCCGCATGTGGCGGGGGAATAAATATGAATTCGCTGAATGTCAGGTTCAAGCACTGGCATTGCCGGCAGTTGGATCCCCGACTGGCGATATGTAGATATATCGACTCCCACACGCATGTGAAGCGCACAGCTCCTTCACTCGCTTTGACTTTGACTTGCAATTGTCTGCGGCTTGTTTATGGGAGCTCACTCAACGGAATTTATTTAAATGCGCCTGACATGAAGTGAGCCGAATCGAAGGCGCAGCTCCGGACAATTAAGCTTAATGTTCGCTCGTCGCTTACGCAATTAAGGATCGCTTTTTCCAAGGCACTGTCCTTGCCCCATCGACTTCAATAACTCAATTAGTGAGCATGCCAAGAAAATGTTGGGGCATTTTGTAGCTAACATTACTGCATTCGAAGACAGGCTAATTAAAACGAATTATTCAAAAATACTTTTTGAATTGTTTCGCAAATATACACATCGTTGTTTCAAGCCCTGAAATCAACAACTGAAAAAGAAGAAATTTTAGCAATTTACTTGAATTTTAAAAATAAATTCTCTGAGAAAAGTATTTCTTAAATTAAATTAAATCGAATAATTTATTTACTTACACAAAAATTATTCGTCATTAATTTTAAAAATTTTCCGCAAAAATGATTTTTTTTTTTTTAGTTTGATAAAATATTTCCTTTCAAGAAAATTGTGTTGTGTTATGTTTTATCAAAAAATATCGTCATTGAGGCACATTTTTATAATTCAGGGTGAATAATATTTTCGGTGTCATTTATGAAACAATTTTCTTAAAGTGGGGTGGGGTTACTACAATGTTCTTAGTTTTATCTAGTAAAATATGTTTAAATTCTTTTGCACTGGGGAAAACCAGTTTGAAACAATTTTGATTAACAAATATTCTTTCCTTTTTATATGAGTGTATTTTATAACAACAGGCAATGTTAATTAAACCCAAAATGAGACCGATTCTAAAATTTAAAAAAAATATAAATTAAAAACTTTATATTTTTTCATATAAATATTATAAACTTAATATACATTAATTAATCTTCGTATTTTCTTAAGAAGCAATTCACTGAGCAAACATGCTGGAATTGAGTTTCGCTCGTGCCTTGTCCTTGTTTAAGGTTACTCTTAATATACTTTTTGTGCCTTTTTTGTTTAAAAGTTCTCAAAAATTTGCTTGTTCAACGATTTGTTGGCTCAGCGAAAAGTGGAAGCCGTCAGGGGCTCGCAAAACGCAAATCGCTTGTCGGCAACAGCTTGTCGGCTTTTGGAGTCGTTGGCGTCGTTTCCCCATTCGCGGTCCTCAGATCGCAGCTCAGTCTAACTTGGCTAACTGGGCTCAGTCTCAGTCTGGATTCCAAAACTGTCGCGACAGCAAACGCGCGTGCGGATCTGTTGAGGTTTTAGAATTTCCGTCCCAATTTGACGCTAATTTGAGCTGACTTTCGGTTAGCAAACTAATAGTGCGCGAGTGTCTTTTCTGGGATTAAAGTCCCAATTTGGTTGATTGTCTGCGACAGGTGAGAATTTAAAGTAGATAAATAGTTAGATAAACCGAATCCAGATCGAACTGCAACCCAAAGCAAGTGTTGAAACTGAAATTTAATGCGTGGCCTGGCGGGAAATCGATATCAGATGGATTGTCTCCGGATTTGCGGTTAACAGACAGATATTCGAGTCGGAAAAACAACAGTAGGTGGAACTCGCAGTGACAGCTATCAGTTGGCACTCGCTAATTAATCAGACAAAGCAAGCAGCCTGATCCCGAGTTATAGCCTCAAATATTTGCTCTACTTTGGGTACTCAAATCTTTGAGATAACCCATTTAGCCTGACTTTTAAACCTTTCGCCTGCCGGAAATTGTTGGACAACAAACACACAGACTTATCAGAGATCTGAGCAAACTTGCATTTTTCATAGGACGGACGCACTAGAAAGTCTGGAAGATGGCTGTGCCACTTTGGGCCAAGATCGGGTCTGGCCAAAAGCGCTGATGGCAGTTCGTGGGTGCAGTGCAGATGCAGATGCAGATGCCTTCACCCGATACGGATGCAAAATCTACCATAGTCACGCTATTTAAAATAGAAAGAAAAACCGACCGACACGACTGCAATCGATCATCGCGGAAGAAAGAGGTGGGTTTTTGGCGCTGAACTTGTATATGGATCTTAAGCCAAACAGACAACCTGGGGATTGCGTCTTATTTTCGATGTGCAGCTGGAATTCCTCCGGCGATGTTTACTTTCGGCATTAGAATAATTTTGCTGCCGTCAGGGGAACATGTTATTCTAGTTCTGTGTATTTTGCTCCACTGACCGTGAACTTGAACAAATGGGATTTCGAATGCAGATCACCCAGACCCCCGAATGCACTATCCTTTTGATTCTGGTGTTGTGATAACCCCTGAAAGGGGTCTGATATCACGAAAGTCAAATCACAAATACCTCTCTATGTAAATATTCAGCTGGTCTCGTTTCTAAGGTTAACCAGAATTTGGGCAGGAAGCGCTGCTCGAGCAATCTGTAACGAAACACCCGAAAAACCAGAGCAGCCCAATATTCGCTATTATACAGCTTCGATAGCTGTATTATTCTCCATCGCTGCTAATCCCATAAATTTGTCAGTTTTTCATCTTTGTGCGGACAACGCAAACACGCAATCCGGTCCAGTTCCGGCACCTCCCCCTCCGCAGCCCCTGAATAACAAAAACAAACGCACTCACACACCTGACGAAGGTGAGTTGGCTGAAAGCATAGCCACAAACAAATAGCTACTGGTCTTGTCCAGGTGATGTCATACTTAGGGTTCGGGTTCGGGGATCTTGAACTGTGTATCACACTAACTTCGGGCCCCGAAATTAATTCCTCCTCCCTGCCATACTTACGATCTTTATGTCGCCGATCCTATTTGCATTTACATAATTCTCAGAGACTTTACGACTCGTTAAGTATTTTGCCACAAACCCTCAGACTCATTTGATTACCTCTGCGGCATTTGCATAATCAATGATTCGAGTAGCTCAGATGGCTCGGATTTGCATACCACGAAATCGGAATCGAAATCGGAATCGAGAAAGTGTTAGTCGGTGCCCACTGTACGGGGGAAACGTGACGGTGTCATTAGGCAAAGCGCCATTTAAATGGATTGGCCTGGGCAAACACAAGTCAGCTCGAAAAGCGGCAATTAAAATGTAAATTGCATCGCAAGCAGTTTACATTCTGCCGTCAATTGCTCCGTCATCGTTTTGATATATGGCTCATACGCACTGTTAGCCGAACGGTTAAGGTTATTGCTATGTGCTATATGCGGTATAGTACGAAAATATGGTAAATGCACACATTTAGTCATTTGCAGTTGACACGCTTCGGGTCTTAGAATATTCTCGTAATTGATTCGAATGGTTATTATGGTTATTACGATTACTACAATGTGCTTGTGATTCGCCGGAGGCTTGGATGCCATTAATAGACTCCCACACACACCCCGTCACTCAACTCTGACCTTTCGCCGGTGATGGAATGCATCATATCTATTTCTTATTAATTTAACCATTTTTATTCGCCATTTGACGGGAAATACGATCTGGCACTTGCCACTGCCGCTGAATTTGATTTATGGCACGTATCGACTCCCATTCAATCAGTGATTCAATGGCGCTAAATGGAAAATGCATTTAGCTATCACTCGGCTGTCAGCAGGTTGACAAATGACGTCACCGCCGATTATCGTATGCCCCATTGCCACTCGACTGTGCCGGCAAATACGGATCTACCTGACGTCACGGCCCACCTGCATTGATAGGCCTCTTTGGTCAGTTGGCTAGGTTGTTTGGCCAAGAAACATGTGCTATATATTTGCTTTTCCCCATTCGAACACTATATTTGTGACCCATTAGCTGTTCACACCTTGGCGAGCGCTAAAGTGGCGCCCTGCGACCGAAAACGGGGAACCTGTTGGCACTTTCAATTATGCAACCAGTGCTAATTGAACTTGGCCAAAGTGAAACCCCGGTCCAGAAAGTGACAGCCAGCCAGATCGATAGATAGAGCGAATAAAGCCATAAAAGTTCACGAATGAGTAGTGGACGTCGACCAAAGTGGCAATTGCTTATCCGTGAGATACTTAATTCAGACACCCTTATTGGCAAGAGATTTAAATATTTTTATTCAAGTACTTTACATAAAAAATAAATTAATTAATAAATTAAAAATATATTCCAAAACAATTATTTATCCAAAAATGTAAAGTTTAATATTAATTTGATATTTAAATTATACATTATATTTCTTACACATACTTCTTTCAGTCATTCTTCTTACCCAATTATAATTTACTTTTCTATATGGAAAAGTGAGAATTCCTCAATTTATGTATTTCGAGTGAACAATTAATTTATGAGATATTTAGTTTAGGTACTCTTTTGTTCCATTAATTTATTATTCGAGGGCAATTAATTTATGATGACATATCGCCCATTAACATCACACAAAGTTCTTGGGCTAACTGCGCAAAATAATGGAATGAGAATTAACTAAACAACAATTGGGGCGACATTGTTGGACAGTTGACGAGTGTCGAAGAGGTGGGCAAACGGAATTTTTGGGGTTCGGTTGGGGGCACGTCATATCTATATCCGAACATGTATCTGAATAGCATCGCAATGATTCAGTCGCACAGCCAAATAGCACTTTTTTCACCATACCATACAATACGAAACACATTAAGCCCGATGAGCGAATGCCTTGTCATCGGCGTGCAGACATTGACACTGACTGAGTTGAGTGTCACTGACATTGGATGA